CATTGTGTGATTTTTTTTTTTTTTTTTTTTTTTTTTGTCTTTTTGAGACAAGATCTCACTATGTGGTTCCGGCTGACCTGGAGATCACTTCGCAGCCAAGGCTGGTCTTGAACTTGCAACAATCCTCCTGCCTCAGCCTCCCAAGTGCTGGGATTACAGGCATGCGCCACCACACCTGGCTTTTTTCTTTTTTCTTTGTTTCTTTTTGTTTGTTTGTTTATTGTTTTGAGGCAGGGTCTCACTATATAGTGCAGGCCTTGAACTCATAGCCATCCTTTTGCCTCACCCCTCAAGTGCTGAGGTTATAGTGTGTGCCACCACGTCCTGGCTGGGGTTGATTTTTTTTTTTTTTTTTTTTTGTAGACATTTCAGCGCATTCACATTTGCAGAATATGAAGTAGTAATAATGAAAGAAACCAGTGTTTACTTTGCATCTTCTGTAAGACAGCATGAGCAAGGTCCTCCAGTGCCTTAAGGCAGGCATTCTTAGCCCATTTTGCAGACGAAGGTCAGAAACTCAGAAGGGTAGTTTACAAGCAGTGTAGCATACTCTTGCTGTTCACAAAGCCAATATTTTTGCTCATGCTTGAGATGTTCAGTTTTATCTTCTTTTTTACAGATAAGGAAACTGAGGCTCAAAGAGATCTAGTAGCTTCCCAAAAACTGGTAAAAACAGGTCTGGTTTTCTAAGGTAGCCAATGACCACTTCCTAGATTAAGAGGTTAGTTGAGGGTCACAGAGTGAGAACCAAGTCACTTCATGTTGTCATGTGGCTGCGTGTGTGCTTTCGGACAGTTGTGACTGGGTTTCCTGAGAGAGGTTTGGTGTGCAGCTGGAAACCAGAGCTCTGCAGTACAGTACCACTGACTGGCCCTGTCGGTGTCTGAAGTGAACATCCGGGCACCACCCCCCACGCTGCCCCTGAAGGTGGCAGAAAGCTTCAGCCTGGCTTTTCATTTGGAAAATTCAGCCCCCCTGGACAAGCCACAGTGTTCATGCATTACCTACTGGAAGTTTCCTGCAAATCCAGCCAGCCTTCTTGGCTGCTGTCACCATCGATATCCTTTCTTTTTCTCTTTTGGTGGGTAAAGAGGAAACCCTCATGCCTTTTTCGGAGAAGGGTATAGCATTTGCCGCTGAGCAGTGTCAGTAGTGCAAGTAGGGGCTGGGTTTGGATTTCCTGTGGTCGCCCTCGGCCCTGGGTGTTTCACACAGGATTTTCCAGGTGGTGTAGAACACTGGGTGTCACTGCCTCTAACCGGCATCTGACCTCCTCTGTCCTGTCACACAGTGTCTTAAGTAAGGCCAAGCTCAAAGGGTTCTGCTTCCTCCTCTTGTCTCAGTGCTCTGCCTATTGGGACGGGGTGCCTGACTGGCAGCCAGTGAGCAAGTGTGGGGTATTAAAGGACAGTAACCCACTTCCCACCCTGTGTGACCCCACCATGCACCTTCCTACAGCCTGGCCATGGTGCCGTGCATACCATATTGAGGGTCTCTCAAGTCCCTGTAAGTCCGCCTTATTAACCCCCGCTGTCACATGCACAGCCAACCCTCCCTGGCCTCCGCCTCCACCACCATGGATTCAGCTCAGTGATGCTCTGACCCCAGGTTCTCCAAAAAAGGAGCCTGGGGGACACAATGCGACCACATTGCTGGCTAAACCTGGTCCTGTGGCCCAGACTTTAGTAGAGGGCAGCCCTAGTCAGTCCATCTGGGAATGGCTTTGCAACTAAGATGTGCCACTGATCGTACACGAAAATACTGTCCCAGCGATGGCCAGAACGGAGAGCCATGAGGTGTGAGAAGCCCAGAGGGCTCTGTTGGCTCCTAGCAAATGTCCTGAATCCCCAGCCCCCCGGCTGCTGACGAGCACATGGCTGTCTCAGGCTTAAGGCTCTGCCCTTTGGAGCCCTGAAGGTCTGCATGTGGGACGGGTGAGCCTAGTGGCACAAGTGACTGTGACATGAGCTGTTTAGTAGTTCTAGGCAAATGATGATTCCTTTCCGAAAGACTTAAAATTCTTTCCGATTTCAGTTTTTCCTTTCAAAAAAAGGAAATGTACTCATGAGGTTCACATTTTTTTTTTTTGTCTTTTTGAGACAGGGTCTCCCTGTGCAGTTCAGGTTAGCCTCAGCTCACTTTATAGCCCAGGCTGGTCTCACACTGCACCACCATGCCCAGCCCATAAACTTACATTTTATTTATTTATTTATTTTTCCCGGTGTCGGGAATCGAACTCATGACCTCACGCTTGCCAGGCAGGCACCGTGCCACTGAGCTAAACCCCCAGCCCCTGAGGTTCACATTGTAAGAAAACACAAGACTAGTCGGCAAGATTCCCGGTGCGGCAGCCACAAAGGTTTCCAACATCAAGGACTAAGAATCCAAGCCCCTGGGTCGTTGTTACCAGAAGTGAGGGCACAGTGTCCTGAAAGCGAGTCACGTTCCGGCCAACTATGGCAAGTGGCCTCAGCCCAGGAGCCGGGCCTTCCTCTCCAGGGAGCAGGGCCTTCGCCCAGCAGCCCAGCGTTGGCACTGCCCAGCCTGCCTGTGCGTTTGGGTTTTTGAGTTGTGGTTTGACTCCCCCGCCAGTATGTAACCCAGCGTGGGACTCATCGCATCCAGTGCCGGTCCACGCCGCTCAGTACAGAGCTGTGAGGGGGAGGCAGAGGCAGCGTCCCCCGTAGCCTGTGCTCTCCAGGCCTGTGCTCAGCGCTTTGGGAACCAAGGGTAATGGCCTTGGGAGCAGGAGGGGGCGTGGAGAACAGGAGGGGAGGAAAGCAGAGCTCACTGGTGTCCAGGGTGAGCAAGCGGCTGGGAGGGTGCACCCGAGTGGCGCATGGCTGGGGGTCCAGACTTTGGATGTGGATGTGTTCACCTCAGTCGCCTGAGTATCTGGGGGCAGATGTGCATCAGCATCTGGGTGAGCGCTAGAGTAAATGCGCGTCTATCCCAGACGCTAGGAGTGGTGGTGAGTGCTATGGACAGAGGACAAGAGCGCTGAGGGCCACACCGACTGTGGGCAGGGGAGAGGGAAATGTGTACTCACTACAGCAGTTCAAGTCACTGCGGTGGGGGCAGGAAGAGATGACCCTTACTAGGCTCACAGCTGCCCCACCAAACCCCAAGGTGAGGAGCGAGGTCCAGCGGTGGCAGAGACGCCAGGCAGGAGTGTGGTGGGCCGCCAGCCAGCTGTGCACACAGCCAGAACCTGCCGGGGACCGGGGATATAGCTCAGTGGTACTAGTGCCTGTCTGGCAAGCACAAGGTCCTGAGTTCGATTCCCGGTACAGAAAAAAAACTGCCAGGAATGAGCCTTTGAGACTCCAGCAACTGCAGTCCTAGGAGCTCCATAGAAGAAATGAGAACTGAGGAAGTGTGTGACTAAGTCAACTGTGGTCCCAGGAAGTGGTGAGAAGGCAAAATCTGTTGCTGAAGAGAACTGAGGGCAACCAAGGAAGAGTGGGGGCGGCAGGCCCTGGCTGGTGCCCTCAGTGGCATCCTGTGGCTGGAGGCTCTGTGCAGAGTTCTTTGGGAGGTGGCAAAGGCCTGCGGAAGCGAAGCTTCCTGTCCCATAAGGAGCGTTGCGAGTCAGAAGAGCAAGGCTATGATTGGTAAAACCAGAAGTGTGGGGGCCGGGGGAAGGGGCCTTGGAACTTCTCTCACCTGTGGTGGAAGGACCTTCCTGATGAGCTGTGCCCGAGCAGACCTGGATGAAGGGATCCCGTAGGGACGCCATGCTTCTCTTGGTAAATGAGACCTTGTCCTTGTCCCAAGCAAACCTTCCAGTGCCGACTCAGCCTGTCTCTCCACACCTTAGCTTCCCAGGCCTGGGCCGTAGGGGGACTGAGGAGGATGCAGGTGGTTGCCCTCTGCAAGCCTGTGAGCTAGCGGTACAGCTAAGTGACAGGAAGGAGTCCAGGCACTGTGTTTTTTGGTTTTTGGTGTTTTGGGTTTATTTTCTTTTTGAGATGGTCTCACTATGCAGTTCAGGCTGGCCTTGAGCTCACTTTGTAGCCCAAGCTGGTCTCAAACTCGCAACGATCCTCACGCCTCAGCCTCCCGAGTGCTGAGATGACAGGCGTGCACCACCACACCCTGCAGGTGCTGTGTTCAGAGATGCACCCAGCAGTCCCCAAACGAAGCTGAGGTTCACAGTACGGATGCTCCCTGAGTTAGGAGG